CAAGATGGAATGCTTTTGAGTAGTAGTCTGATCCATTACAAACCTTTTTCAGAGTTAACCCATAACTGCAAGCTTTAAAACATGAAGCCTGCATAGTTCCTCAGTTATTCTGATGGAATAACTGATGGAATTCTGATGGAATTCTGATGGAATGGAAGTGCTGCATCACTCTAAAACTGCAAAGTAAGGCTGATGTAGGAATGAACACCAGCTGCATCATTAGAGAAGCACAACTCTACAGATCATAGGGTCTATGTCCCATCTTTTACTCTAAAGGATGGGGGTTTTTTTTTGTTCCACTTTTACTTGGCTTCAGACTTCTACATAGCCAGTTGCCAGTGCTCTCAGACCCCTACTCCCAAGGGACTTGTCTTGCCCTCATTACCAGCAGGTGTCACAATGAAGGATGTGAAATACCCTTGTTGCCGAGCTCAGGCTGCAGTCCCTGCTTTGGCTATTGACAAGGGAAAGTCCTGCTCCCTCTTCTCCTTGCCAGGGCAGAAGTCAACACCAGCACCTTGAGCAACCCCATGTCCATCGTCTTGTACTTGCACCATCTCTCTCCATACCCAAGAAATGAAAAGCTTCTCCTGCCAGCTGCCCACAGCACCAGGCTATCAGGCAGCTGGTCTTTACCAGCTCTTTACCAGCTGCTTCCCATCCCTTTAATGACAGGATTAATGATTAATAATTGTGTATTTTTGTAAAAGAGCAAAAATGCCTCTCTGTGTGAAAAAGTTTAAATATATAAAAACACTTCATAAAAATATTTATTAAAAAAATCAAAATGCCCCATGAGCCTGTCAATGTTGCCTGTAAAGTCTCTGCTAACTGGAGTAATCTGAAATACAGTCATTCAGGCTCTTTTCTGCCCTGTCCAGTAAGATCTTAAGATGACCAATAGAAATGCCACTTGTCTTGTACTTTGACCCTCATCTCACCCTTTTTTTTGTCTTCTTCTTTGTTTGTTTCCAATATGATAGTTTGATTTCCCAAAGTTAGTAATTTTCTTTGGAAGCATCATTTGTCTTTGCTTTTAACAGAGTTCTGTATGGCCTGATTCTGAGATTTTCTTATGGAGTGGGCTTGAGGTCTGGTCGGTAACACGAGCAACACCAGGATGCATAGAATGTGCATGTGAAAATACATAGACCTGGGAACAAAAACAGAAAGACACTATTACATTTTTGTTGGTAATAACATGAAATGTGCAAGCTCATGTGCAGTAAGTCGACACAGAATTTAGCGCTAAGGGATGAATGCAGAAAGTATGACCCTGACCTAGAAAATGCTAAATACAACCTTGAATCTCACAAAGCCTATACATGTGGTATCCACTAGCATTGATGAAAATGTTGCCATGGATGTTAATAAGGCAAGGAATCAATCAGCAAACTCCAGAATCCAAAGTCTGACAGCTCAGATAAACTCATGTAATTCTACACTAGACCTATTCAGCCCATCTCTGTTTGATGTTAGAGTATACAAGTCTATGTTATGATGAAATATCCTTTATGCTTAGGACATAAAACCTGTAAAAGTTTTTTAAAAAAAAGTAACAGAAAGAAGAAAAATTAATTCCAAGTGCTGAGATATGAAATAAATCAAAACACTCAACTTTTAACTTAACTTTTTAAGGTCAGGTAGTAATATTTACAGAATTGGTGTGTTTTTGAAGACAACTACACAGAGATATCTTTATTTGATATCCTATTAAATACCACATACTTTGATTTTAAATAATTTGGTATACACAAGATTGAACCAAAATTTAAAAATACTTAATGCAATTACATAAGGCTCTGGCAGCTTGGGGAGGATGATGTTTGGGAGTAGTATGGTCCAGCTCTTAACCACAGAGATGCATCTTTCTATGGTCTCATTTACACTTCTTACCATAGTTCTTAATATCCTTGTAGACGGCTAGGTGTCCAGTGCTCCAAAAAGCCACGCCCTTGTCCAAAGGCCTACAATTTTCCTAAGTCTCTAAGCGTGTTAACCGTGTTCAAAGTCGCTAGTGCAAAAAAATATTAAGGTGATGACCCAACTTGTGGCGAGGGTGGAAAGTAATTTTCTTTGTTCAAATTTTGGTAAAAGTAACGTTTCTGCCTTCATGGATGATGGTACAGTGCTAACAAGTTCCTTATACATATTTATGTCTGTAGTTTTCATGTTAGTAATGTCATCTCATAGAATGACATTATTATTTACTACATGGAATGGTCTTTTGTAGGGCAAAAGGAATCAACTTCATTCATGGAAAGTTTATAAACTAGTTGAATATATTAGTCTTTTCTCTCCTTTTTTGTTCCGATTGCTGTTTGCTACTTTTGTCTTGAAACGCAGAACAATTAGATGTTAACAAGGCACTTGGGAAAGCATCTTACCGAAACTAAAAAGGATTCAGAGTAATTTTTATATGGTAGCCTTTCTGTGTTGAAATAAAATGTTTTAAGAAACAGGAACAGAAAATGTTGAAATTCAACCCCCTTCAAACTGACTTACTGACAGCAGCTATCTTGACTACCAGTTTTTTATCTTTTATATAAGAGGAGGGAATTGACTTTCTTCTCAACAAAAATCTGTTATTCTATGTTGACAGTTGGCTGTAGAATGAAAGAACACTAAAGAAATATTGTCAGTCTCCCTTTTCAAATTATTTCCTCAATTTCAAATTATTTTTATTAGAGTATATCCAATATAGTCTGGAACCAAGGGAAGTATTCACTTCCACTAGAAGTATTCAAAAAGAAAAGCATATTCAATTCAAGAAGTAATGCTCTGCCAGGCACCCTCCTTATCTCCTGCTGACCAGTTGCATCTCCTAGTTCATGCATTCAGCAGCTGGAAAACTGGTCTTTCCTCAACGAGTCCTTTCTACTGCCAGTGCACGTTATCCTTAACCTCTCCAGCCTTGGCCATTATTAAATGGTTGAGACTTGACTGTTTCAAAAAAGGAAACTGAATAAGTCAAAAGTCACATAAGGCCACAGAAAGATTGAGTGAAGTGCTCTGCCTTGGCATTATTATTATTATCATCTCATTAAGGTACAAGAGTGCAAAAATCACCCCTTACACATTATTAAACATCCTGTTCGAACTCCTTTAAAATTTGATGAAATGCCAACAGCTTTTCAGCATGGTTTGGGTTATTTAACAAAAGCCTGTGTCAGTCTGAAGAATAATAGTCAAGAGGAGAGAACTTACTTGTAAAACTTAATCGTGGGCTCAACAGCCAGCATAACAAATGGCGCGACAGTATAGCTCACGGTCAGTTGAGTGACAACCCAGGTAACAACGTCATAGCCTATCTTGAGAGGCACTGACGAGAGGAAGTAATGTCTGCAATTGTTTCTTATCTGCAGGTCAGGGAAAAAGTAAACAGAAAATTATACCAATGCATTTCTGAGGGAAAGTTACACAGACACATTGCAGCGTATGACTCTCCACTTATCATCAGCATTAATATTACAGAAAAGTTTCTATAACAGTTGGAAAGCATTGAGAGTAGGAAGATAGAAGTGTTAGTCAGTCAATAGACTGGCATATCCAAGATTCCACAGTCGACTAGCAGCAAACAGAGAAGTGCCCCCCAGTTTCCTCTGTCATAATCACGGAGTCTCTCATGCTGGGTATATGACACAATATCTTTGGTGAGGAGAGCCGTTATGATTTGTTCTTCCTCCCTTCTGGTTTCGACTTATTACTGGCTATCAACAGTGAAACAAAGTTATTTTAAATGTACAAATACATGTTTATACCTGCAAGCATGTGCTATTCCCTAGAGATTTTGGTTTAGCTTCGCATCTATGAAATCCTTATAAATGAGACGCAAAGCACATGTTAAGACCACATGTTCACCAACCTGCTCCAGCCATAGGTGGTAATACTGATCACTTTCAAATTGACCTGGTTATTTATCCATAGTGAAACTCTGTAAGACAATGGTGGTACCTCCCGGCCCTGCACAACTGGCTGGTTCAGTCTGAAAGATCAGCAGTGATAAATTTATCAACAGCATATAAGTAACGTGACCTAGCAGAAGTCTGGACTCCAACATGACCTTGCGTCCCAAGCTGATCTGACTGCACAGACATAGCCAGTGGCACTGCCAATTGTACACCCACAAGCAACATTTCCTCTGACAGCCAGCGACAGCACTGCAGCACATGCAGAACTGGTGCTGGTTATAACTGCTGGAGGTATTTGGTAATTACCATTAATACAGAACAAAGCTTCAGTCAACATCAAGTCTGCTAAGGCATGAAAGAAGGCTCACAGCAGGGACAAGCTGCTTGACTGCATCAGGGTGGTCCCTGCAGTTGACAGCTGGATAGTATCTAGCATGGGCCTTAGAAGAGAACAGCAAAAGGTACATACTGCTCTGGCTGCGAGCGTGATAAGGATTCCAGTGAGAAACGTAAAATAATATCCAGGATAGATACCATGCCACAGGGCCGACAAGATAAACGTTAAAGCCGTAGGGTACCAGGGAGCTCTGTCATAGCAGACACTGCAAAAAACAAAAATGAAACAAGAGACTGAATACAACTGAGCAATGGACACTACACTTCAAATCCTTCTCTCTTTTTAAGGTCTTATTCTGTTTTCGTAACAGTTTTATCTTCCCTCTGTTACAGACCAGGGCATGAGGCACTGTCCCTTCACGTGGGGGGTTGGACTAGATGATCTTTAAGGTCCCTTTCAACCCAAACCATTCTATGGTTCTATGATTTAGAAGGAGAGTTAGATGGAAAGAGGAAGCTTGCATTTATGCACTGAGTATCCAAAGAGTGTCTGGACAAATATTCCCAGTGCTCATAGCATTTAAATAAACAATGAGGAAAAAGGCAGGCAAGACTTCATTCACCTTTATATCTCTATCTGGCATCGCACACTACCCTTCAAAACTATGATGGCAGATCAAGAGCAAGTCAAAGGACAGATACATGACCCCACCCTTCACTGGTGAACAGAGGTATTTTTAGGTGCCGTTAACCGGCAGATGCTGGGAACAACAGGGAGTGCCATAAGCTATTGCAAAACAGGGAATTTCTGCTAACTTTAGCAGGCCAAAATCTTACTCCGAAGATGCAAACGAATGATACCAGTTCAAGAACACATCGACCGGTCTATTTAGCTATCTGAAGTTTAACTGAAATGCTCTGTTCCAAAAAACTGAGTCAAGATAATGTACTCCTTACCAGGAACATCATTTGACTCATGAAAAGTAGTAGACATTGACTTTTAAGGTATATATATTTACCAACAAAAATATTTGTGATAAGTACAATAAATCTGTGCCTGCATCTCAGATACCACGCTGACTGTGCACTGAGCTTCAGCTATGCCAAAAAGTGTAACAAGATACAGTTCAATCTACAAAATTTGGACTTAGGTTAGTATTTCTATGTGCCTTAACAGTCACGGGTTAAAATCATATCCTCTCAGTGCTATGAGAAGTCTCTTCTCCATATCCTAAACTGGGAATCCCTGGCAAGCATCTTCTGGTAACTCCAAACCAGACTACACTGGTGCTCTGAAGATTCTGACTTCTCTCCATTTCTAGCTGAACTGGATCACAGCAATACAGTGAGGCTCACCTCTGGTAGAAGCATGAGAAACATTACATAGCAAAGTGAAACAGTATAGCAAGAATAATGGAGGCAAACAGCAGTCTAATAGATGCCATCAAAATGCTATTACTTTTTATTATGGAATATCTGAACAGTTCATTTATGGCTTTGCGGCTCATATATAAAATGTGGGCATCTTACACTTGCAGCAATAAAACTTTACAGCACCAAATACCCTTGTATTCCACCAACTGTTACAGACACAGGAAACAAAGCAAGAACAAGAGGCTATACATTTATGAGATTCACCAGCCAGTGTTTTTCCAGGCCATCTAGAGGTTTTGAGTCTCACAAGCACATTACTGTTTCATGACTCTTACCGTTTTAGCCAGGCAGCTGTCTGAATGTTCCAGTTCTCAATGTACATTTTAAAACTTGTCGCAGTCTAAGAAAAAAGTTGACATGAAATGTTAGCATAGAAACCTGCATAATAATACTTGCATTTTAAATTAGAGAGGAGATACATGGAAAATACACATTCTAGTAGCTAAAAGTTGTGAAGACTGTGCCACAGTCCATCGTTACACAAATGTTTTGGGAGGGACATTAACTAGGCTGATTGCTCACTGCCAACACTTGGCACTTGCTGTAAAATCTCACTTTGTTTTGTAAAATTAAATACAATGTTTGGCTATTTTTCAAATTATGGGAAATCTGAAAAGCTTTCTTGTTTTAAATGCTTGGCCTTCCCTTCAGTTCATAAACAGCTTCATTTTTGGAAGAGATATCTTGTCACCCATTATGCGGTCTGGACTTCGAGAGTGCTATTAAAACAAAGTGTTATGAAAACTAAAACAAATGGATAATTATTTAGAGAAGGAAGGGGGAAGACTGCAAAGACAGACAAAAAATTTTAGGACTAAATTTAGAAGCCAATTCTCAGCGCACTGCCCAACTTGAGAAACCAGAGTGGACTCTAGTCCTGGGAGAACCACCCATACCTCCTGAAAGCACCATCCTCCCAGCCTTAGGGGACTGCTGGACTCTGTTCAGCATCAGTTCCCCTAATCCTGGTCAATTTCACCTCTGGTGGTTCCTCATCCCTGCTCCCCATTCTTCCTCGCCTGCAGACAGAAATCTCCGAGGATCTCCTCACCAAGCAGGGACATGATTCAGTGACACCACATTATTTTCCCATATTAGCTGAAGGGAAGGGCACACTGAAAAGATGGATTAAAGGCAAAAGTTTCCAAGGGGGAAATGCAGACATTTTTGCACTTGCACACAGAATCCTGAAGGCCAGGACTTCATCCTCTCTGTTTAGAGAGTTAAAATGATTAGCAATTCCCAATGCAGTACTGCCATATTTTAATTGCATTACTGCACCAAGAGATGCCAAGAAAAATATAATTTCTCTTCCAACTAATACTGTCACCCTCTTTTGGCCTTCTTTAAGTTCCCCTGTTACATTACCAAGAGAGTATCATTTGGCTATCAAAATACGCATGCTGCCAAGGCTTTCAAGTCCCTCACATGCCTTTAGCACCCATCACATTTTAAAGCCTTCACAACTCCTGCCATGTGCTTATTTTTACTACAGATCAGGTCATTTCTTAGTCACATATAGCACTCTTGTTCCCAGCTCTTAAGGACTTTTACATATGCAGGTGGCTGTATCTACTGAAAACGCACTGTACAATCACACTTAAACTTCAGCTCTTGGAATTTAACTCTTGTTGGTGCATAAAGTGACAGTTCAAGGCTTACTCAAAGTCTCTGTAGACTCTTTTCTCATTGTACACATGATCAAACCAATGCAGAGCACTCTTTTTTATGCTCTTGGAAATAATTTCTCCACCCTGATCTCTATTCCCCCTGTGACCAGCAAGGAAAAAAGGTTTTGAGGGGGTCTACAGTTCAGTTGGTAGAGAGAAGCAAAGGCTCCTGTCTCCTTAGTTTGCTTGACTAAAGAGCATTGCCTGCATATCATTTTCCTCCTTTAAGCAGAAACTGCCTCATCCCATTCCAGGTAGGAATCATCTCCTGCCTCAGAAATGAATCAGATGTGGATTCAAGATCTCAGATTTGTATCTAGGCTACTGGCATAATCTAGGAGTACAAAGCATCTCTGGGCTGTGTATTCTGTACCACTTAAAGAGAGATGTACACTGAGGACTAATTAAGGGGGAAAAAAAACCAAAACAAAACAAATTAAAAATAAAACAGAGAAAGTATGTTGAGAAACAGAGAATGTATAATGATACTTCCAGTTTGGACATCTCTCAATAAGAATTACAGGGGCTCTTTCATTTCTGAGAAGAGCTATTAAAGTGCATTCTCTTAGTCACAGATCATTCAGCAATAAAGCAGTCAACTTATTTTCATCTGCTTTTCCTTTTAAAATCATAACTACAGAATTACAGGGGGAAGCTCCTCCTATTTCTAAAGAAAAGAAGCCTTCAGACACAAACATTTTCACTTCCCACTGGCATTCACAAAATATTCTTTGGGGCAAACAGATTACACTGGCCATCTTTTGCCTTAGAGAAACAAACAAATAGCTTCCAAAAGATTAATAGATGTTAAAAATATACTGCAATCACAAGAAATACGTGTGACAGATGTTTTGAGAAACAGCATGGTTTGCTGGATGGAGCTCCAGGTCAGCAGCCAGCTAAGCTCTATGTGGCTCTATGTTTAGGTTGCTCAGTTTATACCTGTCCCCTCTCCGACCCTTGCTTTTCTCCATGTCCAAAAGGCCCTCCAGGCATGTGGAGAGACCCAGCCCTTGCAAATGTCTGCACAATGCCTACTCATGGTGGCCTCTATCACTACCACCACCCATCTCAACTGGGTTGCAGAAGTGTAAGACTGTTATAAGTAACTAAACAGAATACACCACAGATGGTGGAGAATCATAGCTGCGAGCAATTTATTGACCCACTGAACTCAGCTGCAATCTATGGTAATTGACTGCTCATTTATTAAACATCTGATTAATCATTTATTAGCCCTCTATAAACTATTTAGAAATGCAACCTGAATACAGAGGGTGATGAAGGCTGTGTGACAGATGCTTTTTACCTGCCCAACAGATAAAATACAAAACCTCTCCATGTTAAAGAGGAGCAGCCTGGTGCATGGACTTAGTTTTCCTTCCAGCAAAACTTCTCCCCATTATCATGCCCATTTCTCTATAATTATGCCAATGCAGACACTTCTTTAACTCACCTCAATGTTCCAGATATTTAAATTGGACAACAGGTCCCAGTGGAAAGTGCCCCTCTCATCAACTCCACTGAATCCATAACCAGCTGCATTGTTGACTGCATCTGCTGCAATGTCAAAGCAAAACAGGACAAATCAAACGCTGGAGAAGCCACGTTTTCTTACAAGTGAGTACAACACCAAATACACATTCAGGTCAGCTTTGTAGCAATTAGCATCCTCTCCATCAAAGAGAAGCTTCTTCTGGGCAAAGGGCATTTCTACAAGGCAACACATGAGTCATTTCCTCAAGAGGAACTACTAGCTACGCCTTGGGCAGAAAAAAAATAAAATAATAAAATTGAACAACAATGGACAGAAACCACATTTCCCATGATTTTGCCTTTATTATCCATCTGAGAGAGATGTACAAGTGTTGCCATAAAATGAATGAGCATTTTGCTCAAAAAGGCACCTGGATATCACAGCATTTTCCAGAATTCAGAAAAACTGTCGTGTCTCAGAGACATGTTTACCATTCCTATTAAGAGTTCCAACACAGTTGTTTTAATTAAGACTTTCATTCATACTGCCACAGACAAAGGCTTTTGTTAATCCTATTGCTCGGTGCCTTACTAAAATACCTCACCATGTCTACAAATCATATATAGAGCAACTTCAATTGGAGACTTAACTACTCAAGTGCAAATAAAAGCTAGAGTAATGGTAGGCATTTCACATGCTGCACTCTTGCTCTTTCCCAGGGTGCTGGTCAGCTACCTTTCCTCTCAGCCTGGCCTGGAAGCCACTTCATCACTGGGTCTCAAGGCTCTGCTTTTAAAGCACTCCTACCAGAAATGCTCTCTTGAAGTACTAAGAAAACAGAAGGGATTCATTATCTCTGGATCACTAGGTGCAGCCAACACTGAGGATTTATTGGAAGAAAAAGGAAAGCAAAAATACAGGTAAGGTTTTCTCTTCTAGATAATTTCTAAAATACAAGCCTGGTTAAGTTATACTTTAAAAAAAAGTCAGCATTTATTTTCCCAAGAATGAAAATTGATTTTGCTTTGTAAATGCTACGAGTACAAACGCAATCTCATGGAAAAGTCCTGAAGCGCAAAACTAGGGAAAAGCAACAAGACCAACAATAAATAAACAAGCAACCTTCTCTCACCTGACACTTCCAATTATATTTTCCACTTTAGTAAAGAAGCTAGTTCTTACTGATGGAAAGAAAGATCTCCAAATTTTTAATTCTCTCCCTGCTAAAAAAACCAAGCCAAAACCCAAACCAAAACCCAAACAACAACCCTGCCTGAACTTGGCCCATAGGATGCTGTCCAATCTCAGAGACTGGAGCTGCATGTAACTGTCACCCCAGAGCAGGGAGAATCCTGGATTTGCTCCTCCTTGCTCCAAAGGTGGCAGGGACAGCTTAGTGTTTCTTTGTCAAAAGCAAGAAATCAGAAATCCAGGGTCGTAGTAGTAGAGCAGTCCTGTCAGCCTCCCATGTCCTGAGCGGCTCTCCTGCTGAGCAAGGTGTGAAGTGCAGAAGAATCACAATTGTTCACCCTCGGATTGCTCGCAAAGCCCCAGCCTTCACAAAGCCCAGGAGGGGTTTCCCTGCTGACTTGCACAGCTCTGGGGTATCACTTTCACAGCTCCTTGGATCCTGGCACTCAGTCCCGAACTGGTTTCATCGACAGCTCAGAGTTAATTTTGCAGCCACGTTCCCATGACTATTGCTAATGCAGCGAGAAGATGAATTTTCTGTCTTTCCATGGATCTGGAGGAATTCAGCAGTGTGGCACTTGCACAATAGCATCACTGTCCTTTTCAGAGGACGGGAAGTGCTTATCGGCCGCTTCAGCAGGCACTTTTAAAATGTCCTGAGCCATGCCACTGGGAGCTAAACTGCAAAAGGATAAAGCATTTGCTGTTCCACTGCCTGGATTTGCAATGCGAATAATAGAGGCCTCAGCCTCCAGTATGCAATGCACGCCTTTCCTGAAACCCCTAATTCGTAAAGTACTTCTACAGCCTCTACAGCTTAGTCACGTCACAAATCCAAGTTCAGTTTCTCTCTTTGATAATGGACTTTTAGTTAAACTATAGCTCTGCAAAAAAATGGAGGCAACAATTTCACATTGGTTCCCACTAAAATAAGTTTCTGAGCAAGCAGTTCTTTATCCTAAAGCTTTATCCTATCCCACACATGCCAGTCCTGGCTGTCTTCCCTCGATCTGTCAGTTTTATCCCCAGCAGTTTAATCACAGCCTGGCAACGAGTACCTCTCGCTCCTTCTATCCCATCTCAATGTCACTCTTCTCCGTTTCAGGTGTATGCATTGCTGGCTGGGCTTTCTGCCTCTCCCCTACACACAAAGTCTTGTCATACAAGCGAAAAAAAAAAAAAAAAATCAGTCTCTCAATTTTCAGCCTGGCCTTGAAGGGTTTGTGTCCTCACACAGATGAGAAAGGTGCCTTCTAAAAGTAAGAAGGTAAAATACAGAAAGATTATTTGGACCACCAGTCTAAGTGGCTCCAAATAAAAGGTATTTGATTCTCTCTATAATAAGCCCTCTTCCTTCTCTTCCCCTTTTTCTTTCAGAGATTCTTCGGTCCTTCCCATCACCTCCTTCGTAACCCACCATACCTATGTTTCTCCAATCCTTTCTCTTGACCACTCAAAACTAACATGTGTCCAAGATCACACTGTGCCTTAGAGACAAAGCCAAACTTCAGCCCCACAATAAGCACTACAGCTCTCCAACACAGATGCATGTGCTAAAGATGTCCCATAGGAAGAGAGAGGTTTGTCTGCATTATAACATACTTGTAAAGCCTGAGCCAGAATGACCAGTTTTAACATCCCAATCCCACTGACATAAGTCACAAATTATGAATAAAGTATAAAACTTAAGGTTTAGAGGAGGCAAACCTTTTTTCCTAAGAATTGCTGTAAAAGTTATTTTAGTACAATTACAAAAGTTTTAAGTAAGAGGAAATTGTTACATTGACTTTACTGACAAAAGGCTGAAAAGCAGATTTGGTTCCAGAGACAAGGGATGTCGGACAAGGTAGAGGAGATTTTATGCACGTTTTTCAAAACTTTTGACATCTCCCCACTTCAGTGGGGTCCACAGCCTACAAGACTATGTGCGCATCTTCCACGGGAACTACAGGTATAGGGACTAATTTATTTTTGTTTCCCCACAATGCTACAGACTCCCCCTCTCCATTTATGAGCTTATTTGTAACTTACAAAAATAAGTGATATAGCCAGACTTACCTAAAGTCCATGCAAAGTAATACTTTGGTTTTGCTGCCTGTGTTACAACATACAGGTAACCAAGTCTTGACAAGAAGGGTGTTTTATCAAGAAACTCATCATCAATAATATATGCCATAGGAAAGTTCTTGGTAAGTGTCAAGAATAAAATGAGAGATACTAATGTGATACACAGCTTGTACATCACTGCTCCCTAAAAAGCACAAACATGATAAAACATTCATTAGAAATATTTGCTTAAGAGGAAAAAAAAGGCAGTACTCATGACATACAAAAACATTCTGGTTCAAGAACCAATAGTTAGCTGTATCAAAATAGATAATAATTAATTTAGAAGAGGTAACAAGGAAAAGGCCACAGCCAAAGCTTTGGTTCAATTTGTTTTACTGAGCTACCTACAGATAGGTACAAAAGACAATTAGAAGTCAAAATTGGTGATGAACTTCACAAGAGACTCTTACATCAGTTAGTGAAGGTCCTGAAATAAGAAAGGAAACAAACAAAAAAAACCCCAAACACTACTATGTCAAGTCCCTATATGGACTGTCATCTCCAGGAACTAAAGACTGGATTCCTATTGGAAGCCAAAAGCATCGGTATTCAGTACAATAGCAGGTCTTATTGCACAGCTACCATCCAGAAGTCTTGCTAAAAATAATGGTCCAAAAAGTGTGCATCTTATAGAGCATGAATATCCCATGATATAGGGTATCTGCTACACCATACTGTTCATTACTATATACTGTTTCTTTACTATATATGTTTCTATAGACTAATATTATTGACAATCATGTCAGTAGTCAGAAGCTCGATTTCAAATACACATCAGGAGTAAACTTTCCTTCATATAGTCATAATTAAAAAAGTAAATCTGGCACTTGGGTACCATGTAAAAATGGACTCATGCTCTCAAAAGACTAATAAAAGTTCAATATTCTATTGAAACAATGCATTTTCTGATCCCAAGTACTCTTTTTATATATTCTTCATCTTCAGGAATAAATTAATGTACGATTATCTTTAAATGGCTACAATGCAAATTTTAATATTCACTGCTGATTTGCATCTAACACAACACATAACACAATGTAAGTCAGAAGTAACACCACTGAAGTCAACAGAAATACAAACATGTGCAACTGGAATCAAGTATGTACAGGTACATACTCAATCTCACTCAATCCTGCTACACATGCTAGTACTGAAGCTACGCATTCAGTATTGCTGTAAGGTACGAGAGAGGAATCTGGTTCTCATGCTATGTTATCCTGCCTTACAAGAAGGTAATTTTATAAGAAGGTCTTAAGTAACATTAGAATAAATATAAAATAAAATTAGAGTTAATTGGATGTGAAAAATGACCTCCAAGTCATCTTAAAGTATAAGATTCTCTTGCAAAGCACCTGGTCAAGCTACAGTTTCTTATTAGCCATGATTCATGTACTTCTAACATATCCTGCACTACAGGTGAAGTTTGACTTTTTTTTTTTCCCCTGACATTTCCTCTTCTCTTTGGAGCTGAACTGCAACTCATCATTGTCAGAACCTGCAGACCGTTCCCATCACTGCAGAAAGGACACTCATTAACCAGTGTCCCATTTTGCAAGCCAAATGCTTTTAGGGAATTTAAGAGGAAGACACTACACCATCCACCCCTGACCCTGAGATAAAAACAGCAGGCACTTCACAGAAAACTTCACTGTAACGTTTACTGGGAAGATAATCCAAAAATTGATTCTTTCTTCTTAGATTTTAATTGTGAGACTCATGCACAAAGTTCTACTCCCCTGCCCTCTGCAATAAATCTTTGTCATTTTAAAACTTACTGTTGGAGAAGGATCAGGAAGTCTGTCATAACCCTTCTGTTTCCAGTTCACTTCTAACAGCTTCATATGCACATGCCTCCCTTCAATGAAGGCTATATAATCCTTGTAATTGCTGCAAGGCCCAGCTATGATGCTCATAAAATTGAGGAGATAGCTTAAATACTCCAGTAAAGAAGGTCTTATCCTGTGAAAATCATCCACACACAACAAAAAACAAACAAACAAAACCAAAACAAGGTAAAACACAGCAAAGGCTTTCACAAATGCTTTTTGTTGTTGTGTCTGCCTCAGTTCCCAGCTCTCTCCTACCACCCTCCCTCCAGCTGAAAGCTCACTAGATCTGTTTTGGAGAAGATGAAGAACAGCCTCTCTTATATCCACCCTAGTAACCAGCAATAGGACAAGGGGAAATGGCCTCAAGTTGTACCAGGGGAAGGTTAGATTGGATATTAGGAAATATTTCTTTACTGAAAGAGTGGCCAAGCATTGGAACAGGCTGCCCAGGAAAGTGGTGGTAAACACCCCTGGAAGTGTTAAAAAAATGTGTAGTGTGGCACTTTGGGATGTGGTTTAGTGGGCATAGTGATGTTGGGTTGACAGTTGGACTTGATGGTCTTTCCAGCCTTAATGATTCAATGATTCTATATCCTGGTGATGTCTGGCAGATGGCAGTCAAAACAAGGGTAATGTGGAAATGCTTAAGCTACAGGTGAACGAACGCTACTGATCTGAAAAGTTGTAATCTTATTACTAGAAAAATTTTAGTTTAAAGCAATCATAAATTTAAATATCCATTCTCAAACAAATTGACTTGTGCATTTTGAACAGGCCAGCAGTACCAGGAGTGAGAAGTTGTTAAATGGTTCTGGACATCTGTCCAGTATGTCAGGGACCAGTAACAGCTGGCAAACCACAAGCTGAGTAACACTGGTTTCACCACACGGTGCAATGTACCTTGCCTTGCTATGAAAACCACAGGGCAGGGAGCATTGAAGACCAGGACTCTCAGGCCTGAGAGGAGCTCTCACCCACCTTTCAGTTTAGTCTTTTGAAAAATGTGAAGTGTGATGTGAGACAGAGGAAGAGGATGAAGAGGCACTCTGCCCTACTGTGCAAATAAAGGAAGTAATTGCCTGTATTGCATCATGAACAGGAAAAGGAACTAAGAAGAAAAAAAAAACATAAATCAAAAGACAGCTGAAGATGAAAGTCAAAGAGAATCCATCATGTTTGTTACTTCCGTTTTGCAAGTGCACATCCCACAAGCTCCTTTACATTAGATGTAAAATGAAGATCCACTGTCCTTGCCACAGATCAATAGGATGGAAAAGAAAGATGGACAGGTCTCTCACTGCTAGTTTTTAAGTTGTTGGGCTTGCTTTACTTATGTGGCAGAAAACACCAGTTCTGCACTGTGATACACAGTGCTCTCAGCAAATGTGCTAACAGTCACCATCCAAGTAAAGGAGGAGGCTCCAGATGAGACCAGAAACTAAGGCACAGTGTTTCGAGACTTTCCTGTCCAAGACACAGATGAACATGCATAAACCAAAACCTACTTAAAATTCTTTCAGACCAAAACATACATTTCTAGCAGAAAAACTAAGCAACAGTTAAACATTTCCTGTTGTCTACTTTTATTCTGAAGCAAAATTAGTTTGAATAAACAGTAGGCTTAGCCAGGCTTTTCTGCATTCCCCCTGCTAGTTATTGTAAAAGTTAGTGCCTGAATGATATGTCCTCTGGTGAAATACTTTCACAGAAAGATGCAGCAAAATTTGGGGCAAGGCTCATCTTTGTGTTCTGCAAAATCAGGTCCATGATTTGGGCTTCTGAGCTCTACAGTACAATTAAAAAAAAGTCATTAGTTTCAACTTAGATTCTGAACATGGGTGGGTGGAGAGACATGAGCAATGCACGAAGGAATGTACAGAGGATGAGTGCGAAACAAAAACAGACCAAGAACAAGAGGGAAGACAAAAGGCTGTATTACCAAAGGAGATTTAAAACTCTTCAGTTATGACTTGTCTGCCACTGACACTTGAGCTATTGGCATGTACTTTTCTATTATGAGATCATCTACAGTACAAGAAAAAAGAAAGAAAAAACTTGTTTGGTGAGAATTTGACTAGAATTAATCATATGGTCACAAGGGCCTAGTGCCATTAAACATTATGCTGTGAGCTTTAAAAATAGACACAAAGCTATGGGCGTTGGCAATAGTTACACAAGTCTCCCTACAGGATTTTTGCTTTTCAAGAAATTACTCCCTTTTTACTTTTAGAAGGTCACAAGCAGATTTTCTGATGGCTGGATCTTCTGCCTTGAAAATGAAGGAAATAATTTCCTTGGCCTTAAACAAACACTTCACCATGAAAAGCAGTTATGTTTCTAAGACTAATTCTGTAACACTAATTCTTCTAAAAAAAAAAAAAAAATAAAAAAATCACCTGTATCCTGCACTTGTATTGAGTGACAAAATAGAAAAAAAAAAGGCACTCAAATATAGGATCAACATGCCATCTCCTTCTGAAAAATGAGAAGACTAGTCACATAACATGAAGGACTAAGGGTATTAACATTATGGATGGAGATAAGAAAATTAAAATTTCAGTGCCCAAAAATTATGACAAACAGAAGCAGTACTTGAAGCGTCAGAGTCAAACCAAAATGGATTGTTACTCCACAGTGGTCTGCTGACAGAGGAAGAGTATTCTACTTGAAAAAATAATGTATCACAGGATGAAGACAACAGCCAAGTCCACATAGTACAGTCTTAGCCTGAATATAGAAGAGTTGATTCAGCAAAGACTAGTTTTGTTGCATGTGAAGTATATATTTAAGTAAATGTGATGTTGCCAAGTACTTCAGTGCTTTCTTGAGCAGCACAGAGTGATAAAGGCAGAAGTCCTGGACTGAAGAAATAAAGAATACAGCAGAGAAGCTATGTATGTGTAAGGAGGGCACTGACAGCAGCATTACAAAATCAAAACTGCTCAAGCAAGTAGAAGAAGCAGGTAGGCCTTTTGGCTTACCATGGACTGGGAGGAAGCAGGGAACATTTTCATGTTCAGGCCACTAAGTTGGTCCTGACATCGCAAAGGAGAAAAAAAAAAAAACACAACAAAAAACCAAACAAAAAACCAACCATACAAACAAAGCCAAAAAACCCACCAACCAAAAACCAACCCAAACCCTAAACTTCTTTGGATGAATTTAACAACAAATCGCTAGGGGAATTAAATTCTTACTTTACTGCAAGCCGATTTTGCTCAGCAGTGAGTTCCTCAGCTTGTCGCCCTATTCCTAGAGAGAAAGAAAAGCCACATTAGATCTTTCTGAAAGCCAGACAGTGAAAGCTATGCCCAAAACCTTATGTTTGCATCCCACATATAATTTTCTAAAGCCATAAGTTTCAAGATTTCTTTGTAACAGGCAGTTGTAACACAGCTCAAGTTTTAACTTCTAGGTCAAGTATATTTTTGTTCTACCCTATGTCTTCACCCAGTTCCTTCCCTCCTTCCCTCCTTCTCACCCTTGCTACACTTTCAGGAAGAGCAGCCACAGCATTCCCTCACACACAATGCAACTCGCAATGCCACCACCCATCAGTGACCCCCAGCAGCCTGTGCTAACAGTCCTGGGCTGGAAAAATGTCTGTTCCCAGAAGCTGCTGGCTCATTTAAGCCCAAGCATCCTGCTGGCTCCTTGGTGAGAAATGGAGCATTTCACAGCAGGAGGAGCGGGCAGTGGAAGAGACGTGGGGTCTCGGGAAACAGAAGCTCCGCTGGTGCAAACGAGTAGCCTGGCTGCCTGCTGTTGGAGCAAGCCTAAACACACACATCAGTAACAGTCTGGAATGGTGCAAGGTCCAGACTGGAAGGGCGATCTCCTGTTGAGTGCACGAGACCTTTGGGGCCAGAGGTAGACCACAGACTCGCTGTCCCAGAAAGATATGGAAAAATCTTGTATGATGGCCAGTGTGTAAACAGATGTTGCTCATAGCAAATACCTCAAAGCCTTCACACTGAAGCTTTAGCTGTGCACACTGTGAGGAATCCCACTGGCTTCAGCAGAACAACTCACCACAGTGGTGAGTTGATTAAGTGTTAATCAATGCCAAGCCCCTGATCTTGTGAAGGTGTGTGTATGCATGCTCAACATCAAGTGCTGTGACTCATCCTGTTATAAACTTACTGTTATAAACTTACTGGCCATTAATACCAATACACACATACAAGACCCATTTCTTAAAAAGACTGCTGATAAGCTACTCATTTCCATTCTCTCTCTGCTATTTCAGTTTGTAAATACTGGGAGGGCGTGAGTTCCAGGGAAACAATTAAGCACTTAATTACTTAAAGGGCTGGATATTTTGTTTGTCTGTTTCCATTTATGGGCAGCTGTGTTAAATTTTTACAAATAGAGATTTGTCACTAATGCTTGAACTGCAAGCTGCCTGTTTGACCAACTGCTCCATATATGAACATTCACAATGCAATGAGCTTTTTCCACCCTCAGTAACCTGCAGGATTTCTGGTTTGCTTAAAATGCTCCTGCCTTTGCTGACATCTTTTCCTTTCTGTCTGTTCGTTCACCTTCAATACTCCAGGTGTGCATTAGGCTGCACGCCACTGTGGCTTGCAGCGATACCCAAGCTGGCTAGCTTAAATAACAACAGCGGAGAAGCCCCAGCAACATGAACGTCAATGACAAGGTCAATTAGCCAGGCTCCAAGCTGCACCCGTTACAGCCAGCTAAAAGCATCAGACTCACTTGCGTAAGCTTGGCTTGAGAACAATGCCAGACCCTGAAGTCTGTGGTGTGGCCATCACCTAAATCCTAGATCAGAACAACTCTATATAAGCAGGCGACTTATTTAGTGACCCAAAGCTTATAATGCAACAGGCCTCAGACCATCAGAAATTCACACAGCAACGTCAGTACATAGGAGCAATAACAGTACTGATGGCAACTGACATTTCTAGCCTTTTCACTGTACTAGACACAGGCATTTTATTGGGAAATAATAGTGCCCTTTGTCACAGCACAGCACAAGACTGGAGACAATGTTATTTTGCTTGCAACTGTGCTTCTCCCTGCACTGGCGAAAAGCTATTGAATTCCACCTCTCCCAACTCATGTATTATATTATCACTGAATATATCAGTGATAGCATATTTTTGCTACATTAACATTAATGACTGAACCTATGTGTCAGACACAACTCTTGATTTCTGAGAATCAAGAAAAGCTTCAAAGAATGTAATGGAGCTGCACTGTGGCATCTAAACAGCCGATACTGGTACTAGCTAAAATTCGAATTGGGCCTCAAGGAAGTAGAACACCCAAAGGGGAAAACAGTTGTCTTCATTACTGCAAAGACAGTTTGATCTTGGAGAACTGATCGAAACTTGATGTTTCTCATTTTCCTCCACAAAAGATTTTTCTTCTTCATTTGGAGCAACTTGCTGAACTACATTCATCTGCTCTGAAACTCATGCATGCGCAGGAATAAAAAAGCTGTCTTCAGGACGTGGGAAGTGATTCCTTTTCTTACCATCATGTAACTGGCACGCAAGTGTTGTGATCTTCTGTGTAATTATCATCAGCGGACTACAAGGAAGACAGAAACAACAGTTACATGTCTTGTAATGCAAACTATTGCCAGCTCCCTTGCTGAATGCCTTTATCCCTCTAAAAGGCATAACTGCACTAGCAACAAGTGGAAAACATCCAATTAAAACTGAAGGAGGAACTCAGGCATAAGACAATTGTCTGGGTTCAAAACAACCTCACAGTAACTTGCACTGGAATTTTTAATTGTTAAGTGCACAAAAAGCCTTATTTTATGTCTCCCCATCCTGCAGCAGTGCAAGTTGTAATTGAGAAGAAATTGCCCCACTAGGAAATACCAGTTTCTGCAGCCTACTGGGCTTCCTTTCAGGCAAAGACCAAAATTCAAGCCCCATAGAATGCAACTGTAGAATACAGCAATGCCGCTGTAACATAACTCTGGCTCTTCTTACTGTTACTCTCCTATTGTCTGTCTCCTCAGTGCCCTAAAAAAAATGTTGACTCTGCAGACACACATGCTTATTTCCCCACATGAATAACCCTATCAATTAGGACTGCGTGCCAATACTAGAATAGCTGTCAGCACACCAGTTTCCACTTGCTTCTTGGCCATGCAACTGCCCTGTGGACAGCCTGTCCAAGACATATCATCCAGCTGGGAGTGTCTGGACACATAGGATCTGGAGACTCCCAAAAACATGAGCTAGCTGTACCTGAGGCACACTTACAGGCTACCATCACCCAGCAGCTTTGGGGCCAACCAAACAAGCAGCAAAGGAGTAGCCACAAGGTTCAACAGGGCTGCTTATATTTCCTGTATCCAGCTTTACAGAGCTGCTTAGTACTGTAGGTAAATGTGAGCTGCTGCAACTAAGGAATAGGAAAAAAAAGGCAAAACTCAGCTTGGTGGCATCAGGAGCTGGTCCCCATGAGGGTAAAGGACACAGCCAGGGGCATTCAAATGTATATAAGAAGAAAGAAGATGGGAAAACCATGGGGACAACTAACGAGTCCCTCATAGGCAGAGGCTCTAGGGCTAATTGCGGTCCATATACAACTTCTAAACACAAAACCTGGCACTGAACCTCTGTAATCTGGAAGGACCCACAGCAGGCAAAGCAGGGGATGGGTACCTGTTAACAGTGCACCTCTTCCCAGCTCTCTGCCACTGGGGACACCAGGACAGGGTGCCCATATCTCACACTGCCTATGAGACCTTCACAACCCCCAGCCAGGAGGTTGTAATGGGTGATGAGGATACATCATTATTTTCAAAGCATTAATTGTCACAATTATATGTAAAACCAGTTCCACTGAACAGATGTATCTTCATTGAGGATTAGTACAATGGATAGTTTCTGAATGTGGCAATTACCAACATAAACCATACAGAGGTTTCTGCTTGGACACAAACGATGTCTTCAACATGGAAACTAAAACCTGAGTTTGTGTGTATGCTATCTACAGAGTTTGACTGGTATATGGAACTTTTTAAAGACATGTAAATCATTACTCCAAATATTATGCTTATTCATTTTAAACACTAATATATTTTCTGGAATCCAATGAAACAAAAAAACCTGAAGGCCTTTTTTTCAGTTTGAGCACTGTATTTTCCTCACTGATTTCTCAAGGTAAGGGGAAAAAAAAAAAAAAGTAAAACTTACATTCAGTGCTATCTGCCTAATGTAACAGTCAAATATTAATGTTCTGCAGAGATTTTCAAGGGATTCTGAATTATTCTTAACTAAAATCAATCTACTGGTTACAATCAAATGTAAATCCAATGGCTAAGATAAACTCTTTGCAATCTGACTATCCCACTATGACAAATCAAACTGATTTTCAAGATAATTAATATGCTGAGCACAGTAAACACAAAAATACTGGAAAGACATTCTGTCATCGTAAGTATTTTTTCTTCTTCTTAATACTAAATACGGCATGTCCACATGTAATTCTGCATGGGTAGAGTAACTTACATTTTCTATTCAAAACCAGAGAGCATGCAGTATCAACCAATTTCTTCATCACAAACTATTTTTATCACTTCAGCAGTCTCTCCTTGAAATGTCAGTAAAAAAGCTTGCACATAAAATCCAGAGTAAGCCTAAATATACACAGATCTGGAATACAACCATAACACAAGGGTTTGTACAGCAGCTCTCCTTGGGTCACCTAGACCACTGATTGCAGTTAAGGATGGACAAATTCAACAATGACTTTTTGCCTTCCAGACAACACCAGTGTTGTGAAATATTAATTCTAATTTTTATTCCAATTCATATTTCAAGAAAAGTTATTTATAAGCTGTTTTCACCATTGTCTTCAACATCTTATTCCTCAAAGTAGATTTTCCCATTCAGACAAAATTTAGCTTTAGTTTCAGAGATACATAAATCGCAATCCTTTAAGCATAAGAAAATGCAGAATTTTTTAATCCTTAAAGAGACTGTCAGTGAACCAACAGTTCTACTGCAATAAACAAAGATTTTAATTTTGCCAATGCTTGAACTATTAGCTTTATGGGTGAGCACTAACACTTGTTTTAAATTGGTTCAATTTGTTGCATATGTTTCTTATGGCAAGCACTTTATGCCAATACTGAAATGGGTAACTTTAAACCTCAGGCTTAGAGCCAAAACTGTATGCCTTTAAGTGCCTAAATTTAGACACTTGTCTTAGAAAATTAGCCCCCCCACTGTAAGCCAGTGAGAACCAAAATGCAAACAATCCTAATGTGCTGCTTAAGGGAGGGAAGCAGGAGTGCAGCCTGCACTAAAGGCACACAATGCATAAATACAGAGGTTCTCTTCATCTATGTTACGAATTCATTGCCTCATTGACGGCACACTGTAACCCGGCAGAACAAGTCAGCCTCTCCTGCCTTTTAATCAGAAAAGACGGCCAGTCTGCCTCCCTCAAATCCCAGCTCTAGAGGAGATAAGTGAGCTCAGAAGAGATGCTGCTGACACCATGGGTGGGAGGGAGACCCACAGAGTTTATCTGCGATATGTTCAGGTTTCTCTCCTGTCATCATCATATTACATAGGTACATATGTCTCCTATGCCCTACTCGGCAAGGTGAAAACTTGCTGTACAGTGGCAATGGGATGGCACCCTCTAAATCTTTCACAAGATCAGTATCAGGTATCATTACACATTTCACACAAAGGTTTCAGGTGAACAGGGAGCACCTTCCTCCTCCCTCACCTGTCTACCATACCCCCATTGACATGTCCTCAATTTGGGCACCAAGCCTTTGCTGCAGGAAAGGGCAGAGCACAGCAAAGCAATAGCGGTGCCGGAACCCTGTCATCTTCTGGCACCTCTTTGGGGTGTGGGGGACCCACACCTTCTGCACATCCACACCCATCCCACTCCTCCCTGGGGACTCGCCAGTCTCTCCTCATCACGCACACACACATTGAGCGAGTCTAAGACAGTTTTTGTTTCTTCAGAATGAAAAATAGTAATTTTCCCCCATATTTGCAGAGCAATGCATGAGGACTCAAGTCCTGAATCAACAATAAGAATTAGATAAGAAAAATACATTTAATTTAAGGGGGGAAATAAATATAATAATTTCCTAACTAAATACACGTGAGAGTTTTGATTATTAAAACATGGCAACAGCAGAGCACTGAATTGCCATTTCTGTTCAGCCTTTCAGGTAACCTCTACTTTTAAACAGCAATAAAACACATTCAGCAAGTTAATACATAATATAAAGCACCATGTCACATACAGTCAACTGTTTTTGACATGATCATATTTCAAACCTTAGACTCTACTGGAATAAGCCAGAAGTGCTACAAACAAGAAGGCGAGTTAACAAAGCTCTAAGAGTTCCAATAATCTTTCTTTCTGCCAAATTTTGAGAGAAGCCCAGGTTATTTGGAGTAGGGCAAATTATTAGGTTGACTTTAAAAAGAAAATCTACTTACTATACTTGCACTTACAGACAAAGCATGAAGAACTACCCCTAGAAACAGGGAACTTTAAATAAAATATATATTTAAGAAGCCTGTCTTGAACTCGATCATAATTGAACGTTTTCCTATCACTTCTCAGCAACACGCTAGGCGCTATAATACTACATCTTCTACATCCACTATAGTTACAAAATAGCACAGAAACTCAGAATTAGGTTTTTCTGTGGTGTGATTTTCCCCCACCTTGGTCTATGTTTTATATATTGGCTAAGAGTTTAACCTCAGGTTGTAGCTGCATTGTATCTCCTACACACAAACCATAGTAGCCAACTTTTAATTAAAAAAACAACAAAAAAAATCATAAAGACATTGTCCCAGGAGTCAGTATAAAATAGAAAATAATAATGATAATTATAATGATTATTATTATTATTAATACCCTGTCTTTACCTTATGTTAGATGCCTTGAAAAATAACCTAAGACAAAAATGCAACAGTTTACAGAGAACACTCAATAGAGGGTTTTATGCCCCTAATTAAACCATCCAAATAAAAACACACCAGTTTATGTAATTTTTATTGGCTTGCGCCAACATAATAAATTTGCCCAGAAGCACCAGCCAGCAGAACTAAAGATGTCAGCATCAGCTGTAACCTGCTGTGGGGATCCTCCCCGCATCCCAGGCTGGCTTCTGCACCAAGCAACCTTTGATGCTCACAAGAGAAAAGACATTTACCAGGCAGTTCGCCTGACCTTAGGTAATCCCATGGAGGAGTCTGGCACATGCTTGCTAGAAATAGTTTCCACTGACCTGATTTCACTAAAGGAGGAGGCGGAGTCAAAAGGCTCATTGCAGACCAGACTCCAAAACAGCAAACATTTCAGGTTTTTTCTCTGTAGCCCTGAAGCCACGACGAGAAGTTCACACAGTCACGCTCTGCTACAACATTAGACACACTGCCAAGGGGATTGCTGAGCCAGAGACACCATAAGGGCTTCACCGGCAGCGGGCTCCTACTTCTGCTTTTGACAGCAAAATGAAGAAGTGCTGAGGCACACGGAGGAAAAATACTTCACTGAACAAGTTCATGCCTCCAAAGCAACTTCCAATTTGCTTCATGTGGGCTTTTGGCAGTTTTTTTTTGAAAGCTCTGAAAGAGTATTTCTTACACCTTCATGATAGAAGCATTTGACTTTAAAGACTATTTACTTCTGGAGAAGTGTCCTGGGATGCACTAGATATGTGGAGCTCTCTAGTAGTGACCGCCTGCTTGAATTTTGGCTAGTTTCCATGCTGTGACCCTTGCAGGGCTTCTGCGTAACCAGTGGTAAGTGAGCCTGGTGCAGTTTCAAGTGGACAGATGCCCAGCAGGGCAGACATGGAAACCAGACTGACCTCCCCTTGCTGACCCTGCACCTGCGATGCTGCACAGCCCCTGGGGACTTGCTGAGAACCAAAGTTACCCAGTGCCATGGGAACATACGCTGCAACGACGTATGGCACTTTATACATTTAAAAGATGGGAAAATAAAAATAGCAACTGAACTCACAGGACCAGTTAGCATTTCTGAGTTGTTTTAACATGGTAACAGAGCACATCTATGTTTGTTTCCATCAGCAAATGTATTTCCTTTGCAAAAACTGGCTCTTGTACCTTTATTCCATTCTTTTGTGGTTGATACTAAGCCACTGAGAGGGAGAATTATCACTCAACAAAAATCCATTGCCTAAAGTGACAATTGTCACTGAAGTAACTGCTTATCTGGCTTTACAAGAGGGCTCTTTCAATGGCCATCCCTTTCTAAGCAGTTTGCCGAGAATGCTGCTGCTGTTCTGCATTTGGGATAGAGTGAACACTCCCCATTCCTTCTGGACAGTGATGTCCACCAACACACTCAAGTAAGGGGTACAGACTTTACATCTGTGGGGAGGAAAACTGTTCAAGTCATCCTGATAATTCAGCTTTGGTCTCTACAAAACCAACAGAAGATCGAAAGCAATGCCCGTGTGTGTGGCAATTTTCACAAATTTAGCTCTTTTCTGTAAGGAATGATACCAAGAAACTCACACATGCACAGATGAGCATTCCCTGATATTCACCAAATGAGCTGCAATATTATGAAATTTTGCTTAGACATTGCAGGAATTCAAAGAAGGAACTAAAAAACTCTAAGGTCTTCATCAAGAAAAGGATTAAAGCAGACTTCATATGGATGAGGAGTTTCTCTGAATTCTGTCCGTATGATCATATGCATATAGCATTTTTTCATGTAAATTGCAACCATATCTATCACTAGTTTCCAAAAAGCCAATCAAGATGCATTGATATTATTTTAAACAAATTTTTCCCTAAAGCCATAATATTACTATACTCAGTCTGAGCCTGTGATACAAAGGGAAAAAAATAACCAAAACCCCTGTATGTTAGTATTACCATTTTTATAAAGTTGTATAGAAACCAGGCAACTTACCAGCATAATCCTCTTAGCATAAAGAAGAAATAAGAAAAAGAGAGAGAAAGAGTTAGGATTTAGTATTCCTAGGTACAATATATGAATGCCATGGCAAACCAAGCAAAATAATATATGCATGTTTCTCTCAAAGACTGATTTGAATTAAGGGGGAAGCAGAGCATTCAGGTATTTTACAATTAATGTCCAAAAAGGAATAGTTTACTTTGAGAAAGTAGCCAGGAAAAAATAGCTAATTATGTCACCACATTTTTGTGAAGTAATATAAATTAAAAAACTCTGATTAAATATATATACATTTTTTTTAAAGTAATTAAAATTAAAGTGTAGCAAACTGGAGCTGATTTTCATTAAAACTAGGCATGTAGTTTAAAAAAAAATAAAAAAGGACTTTTCACCTAAGTACTACACAATATACTCTTAAGAAATTGCTGCACAGAGCTCAAGTACAGTTTTGATTGTGGGAGTCGGTGACCCAACCTACCCTTTTCTTTCATTAGGCGAATTAACTAGTCATCAGTAGAGAACAAGTTTCCTTACTTCTTAACCTTGAAGGGGTGAGTCAGTTTGATTTTTCATTTTCCAGTTTACTTAAGACATGACTCAAAAGTTACCTTGTCTGTCTGTCTCTTCCTGCATTTTACAAGCTGTGTTCTCAAAATGGAGGGACTCCAAACAACCAAAAAGATACATTTGCAAGCATGCATCAAAAGGGTTATGCATGCACAAAGCAGGTCAAGAGGGCAAACGAGGTATGCCAGCTTTCAGCACTGACACTGGGAAACACTCATTTAACATCTGGCTCCTCACTTTAGGGAACTGACCTTGGAAAGCTGATGGCGCTAGAAGTGGTTACATGCCTGTTTGATGGGGATTAAAATGTCTTCCTTGCAATCAGATACCACCAGAGACTTAGAGGATACTGAGACCTCAAATACAAGTCAGCAAATGACAGCGTTTTTAATTCCCTCTTAAAGATTCCTTTAAATCCAGTGTTTTGCCTTCTCAGGGTATCCCCAGCTGCGTTTGCCCACAAGGGTGGGAGGCTGGAGGGAGACAGGTATTGCCCCATTGATTCAGTCTCAGTTGTTCTTGAAGTCCTGAGGGTGAACTTCAAGGCCACCTTTCCAGTCAGAGGTCTGTTTGAACGCTTCCCTGTTACCACATGCAATAGCTGTAGAACCATCAAACACGGGAGAATGGGCAAAAGGAGGTCCAGCTGCTGCTCATACATGGTAAAACTGTGATCAGGGAGTATATTTTGTCTCTCTAGGTCATAACATCTGTTTAGGTACATATATAAAGCCTCAGTGGGCACATATTATTTACAGTTGAGAAAAGCGGGTTTTAAGAAAGACTTATGAGGCCATCTTGAGTTTCAGAATTTTGGATTGCAAGTTTTTATTAATACCAGTACAATATTTTTATTTATTCTCAGTTTTTAAAATATACCATGAAGATGTCGTTCATATCCACACTACATTTTCCAGTTGTTTACTGCCAGGCAATTTTATGTATGACTGAAGTTTAGGAATTCATTTATAACTTGAAGCATCAGGACAAAAACAAATAATAGAGTAAGTTCAGGTATTATTCTTTCAGTACCATTATTAACCTCAAGCTCATCATTAGATAAAAGTAGCTCCCTTTTCATCAAGGGAGCAGAAAATGCTACCTAGTTTATAACATAAAGAACCACCATTCCTTCTCTTCCAGCTTCAGTCTCAGCTGGACCTTTATTAAATGTCTTCAGAGAGACATAACTAATAGGCCTCACAGTGCATTTCTGAACCCACTATTCAGAAAAGCATGCTCTCTCGCATTTCTCTCTGCCTCTGTCTCATACACACACAGAGCTATAGCATTCCAATCCCATTTATAGGCTTCTTGGTATGTCATGCACTTTCAGGACATGCTTTTGTGTATTAAAAGAACCACAGAAAAAATTATAGAACTTAATTTTTCTAGACGTGCAAGCACCCATTTCTGCCCCCTCCTCTATTTTAAAAAAAAAAAAAAAAAAATCAGAAGTATTTCCCCCCCTCCGCAAAATGTAATAAAATGCTTAAACCCACCACAACCTCACGCAGAGACCCATGCACACAGACAGCAAAAATCCCTCCAGTTTCCTAGTTAATGCTTATAAGACAGAGGCTTGCAAGAGGCATCTATAACATACTGTGCCAGTTGTCAGCGATTTTTCATGCTATTTTACTAATTACTCTGTATTCAGACATTCAACTAAATAAGTGGAATACAGATTAGTACATTGTTTTTTAAGCATGCAGAAGTATACCTTCCTCTCATAAACAAAATCTACAGTTAGCTGTCTATGTTTTAGCAAAGCGTCCTCTACTGCTTCCGTGAAATCAAATAGAGTCTACAGCATACATGAAAAACACTGCTCCAGAGAAATGCATGGCACGTAGAAAGTTGTGCTCTTTAAACAGGAGCCACAACCCACCCCCATGAGAGAACCCATAAGACCAGGGCTGAGAGCAAGAGCTGATCTCATCTCTCTCTGTGCAGGTTACCCACCCACCTCCCAGCTCCCCCAGCCACTTCCCCGCTTCCTAATTCCTCCCCTCCTGCCCACTGGAGTGCCTAGGGTGGGAAACACCTTCCCAGTTGGGGCACCAAGATAAATCAGACTGGGAGAAAGAATGACCAGGAGCCAACAGCTGTGCCTAGGAAGGTGGGAGGAGAGCAGCCCACCCCAGACCACCAGGGACCAGAGCACGGGCCATGCTGCTCGCCAGGGCTATAAAGCAAGCAACCATGCAGACCTGTCCTCCCAGGCTGCTCTAGTGGAAATCTAACTAACCAGACTCTCCCTTCCTAACCAGATAGTGCCTAGCAAGAAAGCATTAGAAACAATGAGTCAGTGCAAAAGCCACACAGTGTTTATTGCTTCCTTAAAAAAAAAAAAAAAAAAAGTCTTAGAAAAAGCTTAGGGGAAAAAAAACTGCAGGCACTCCCCAGATAACATAAAAATTATTCTTAAAATGTACTAAATTTAACTAATACTAATTAGGATACAGGACTCAGCTTGCAGACTCACTCACCCGGAAAAATCTGTAGTGAGAATACCATAATGAAATATGTATATTCGGCTTATGTGGCACAACGTGAGGTATCCCATTGCTACGACAAAGGAGTACCTAAAAACACAACATACAAAACACATAGTTACCAACACAAGTACCAACAAGAACTAGAATCACTCAAATTGGGTTTGGGCTTGTTTAGGAATGGAGTTCGATTTTTGGAAATCGCATTGTTAACAAGTCTGAAGTTATGCTACAAGATCTGGCAGAAATTTTCTAAGAGGACTGATGGTTTTGTGTACCCAGCTGAAAAATTACAGTGGTGTCTCCTCACACTGGGGGTGGAATAGAAGAAAAAATAGGATCACTTCAAGTTGGGAATTTCAATTTCAGACTTCCCACCCTCACATATTATTTTGAAACTTCTGACTCAAGTATTTGAAACCAGATGGCAATGTATGTGCATTGCTGAAGTTAACCATTGGGGTTTTTTTTATCTGTAAATGTTCTTTATTTACATGTACTACTCCTTCTCAGATCTCCCATAAAATAAAACATGTCAAGTTTAACATATTTCTCTTTTCTGATTTTGCATAAAGGCAGGTAATGACACATAGTCTCAACTATTCATCTCTCAATGCTGAAAGATGCCCCTTTCTAGATGAAGCATTCCTTAAGCGGAGCTTGACAAATTCACTCTCTGTTTTTCAAGATGATCACAATATTATGTTAGGCAGGACAGTAGCATGGGTCTTTCTGTTTTAAGAGTTGGACAGTCTGAGGACTAGAGGTTTTGCAGCACCTAGGTGGGGCAAATGCAGCCTTTCCTACAACTAACTTCTTGTATTTAACCAAGCAAGAAAGAAGGTACTGGGGAGATAACCAACAGTGGATATTTGGAAACAAGACTGACAAATGAAGCAAACAAGACAGTGCAACAGAGCTGGGACATCAGAATGAAAGGCTTGCAGGCTTGACAGGCCAGGAGTAGGTCTACTGGTGTCCCCAGCACCAGGAGAAGATAGCCACGTGAAGGAGAAGATGCAAAGACCTAGAGAGGAACGAGACTGCACATCCTGCATGCCCAGCAGAGCTGAGCCACGGAAGGTCAGGCAGGCTGATAGCACATGCTGCCACGCAGGGTCTCCCCAGACCCACAGGAGGATGGATCATGATGGGGAACTATAGGTGAAATCAAACAAGAGAAACAGTCAGCAGACTGAAAATGAGCCAGGCCTTTGTCAAATCATGGTTGGCTTTGAAAGAAATAAGTTTTTCCTCCCTGGGGACTAATAAACTGCAGTGTGAGTGACAGTGATGGATGGCAAGGCAATCTGCAGGTCACGTGGCCCACAGCAAACAGCTGAATGAAAGGCAGACTGAGGGGACACGACAGCTTTTTCAGGAGATTCAGAGCAGAATTTATCTTATTTTATAACAGTCAGGCATCCAGTCCAGCCTCAGCAAGGCCCTTGGGCTCTCTCTCATCAACAGAGAATGGCAAGCACCCCTCCAAAGGCAAGTCACCCAGCTCAGACATCTAAGGATGACAGATGGGATGAAGTATCTAAAATAAGCCCCAATGATTAAGCGTAAAGCACCTAGATTGAAAGAGGGGTGAGCAGGGAGAGAAATACTGAATTGCTGGTGCAGCTAGGAGCATTTCTGATGCTGGATTAGTTTGACCATTTATAGGCTTTGAATGCTGGCAGCCTCACCAAGGAGCAAACTAGCAGAAAATAACCAAGGAAAGGAGCATGCAGGTTAAATTAAGTTGTTTCTTTATTTCATCTGTTCACTCCACTCACGTTTTGGGGGGAAAAAGCCAAGTCTTGGAGCCCTACTATGAAGGACCCAGTGCTCTTACAGGCCCCCTGTATGAACAGGTCCAGTCCTTAAACTAGCATTTTTCAAGCTTATTCTCAAGCAGATTGAATACACTGCTATTTTGCCAAAATTAATACTGTGAATGTACTTGGAGGCACACTGCTATGGCTAGTGGAATACAGTAGAAAAGTTCTAACCCTATCTTCCCAAGGTTTTTCAGCATGTTGGACTGCTATTTCACATCAACTCACATCAGCACATGACAATCTCACAGCAGTGAGTAATACCAGCTTAATTTGTGTTACTGTGTACAGCTACTTTTCTGTGGGGTAAACAGTAAGAGTGAGGGGGGTTTGTGTTGAAGCTGTGTCCATTTCCCCCTGATCACCACCTCAACCCGTCTAGGAAGACATAAGTAAGTACTGGGTGATTCCCTCTGTAGACTTGGTTCCTCTGATCCAAAATCAGTAACTACTGCATTTCCTCCAAGTTGATGGGCAGGGACAATAAACAGAAGACAAGTAATGCACAATTTTAGCACCTTTTCCTTCTGGTCTCTGGATGAAATTTCTTTCATAAACATTGTCCAATTACATTTTTTAAAATTATTAATTACCTCTGGACTTCTGGGCTTTGCACTCTGTGAGGGGGTCAAAAGAAGCTCCTCGATTAATATCCATTTTGTCAGTGCAAAATGCTAGTGCTTGCTATACACAAGCCTGTAGCTTTACGGTCCACATTTCTGAACAATCCTAGACAAATTATAAGTGATGGTTCCCATTTGGATATTAGAGAAGGTTCACCTCAGGAAGAGATGAAGAATCACAGAATCAGAGAACGTTAGGGATTGGAAGGGACCTCAAAAGATCATCTAGTCCAATCCCCCTGCCGGAGCAGGAACACCTAGATGAGGTTACACAGGAACACGTCCAGGCGAGTTTTGAACGTCTCCAGAGAAGGAGCTCTGTTACCCTCACTGAGAAGAGCTTTCTTCTCAAATTTAAGTGGAACCTCTTGTGTTCCAGTTTGTGTCCGTTACCCCTTGTCTTATCGTTGTTTGTCACTGAGAAGAGCCTGGCTCCATCCTTGTGACACTCACCCTTTATATATTTATAAACATTAATGAGATTATTATGAGTGTTAGAACCTCAGAGAGCCCTGGCCCTGAAGACAAGTGAAAAAGTGGTTTCTGCTCCCCAGCCCAGCCTGATGTGGATGTGAGGATTTGGCAGCAGCTGCAGAAATAGTCATAATGAGCATAGAGACAGGAATCACCTATAACACACCCAAATCACAGTATTAACCACATGCTGTTTGTGAGGCCAACGCGAAAGTCAAGTATGAAGAACAGCCAGATTATCCTTCTAGCCTGCTATGAAGTGGCAGTTTTACAAAGAAAAATTTCTATTTATGCAGATTGTTAGGAAGCAAACAAGTCCACCTACACAATTTTTACAACTCCCATGTGCTGACTTCTAACAGAGAGTATGATATCCATGCGAGAAGGCTCAGTGACTGAGAAGTTCTTCCACGTGAACTTTCTCTTATTCAGTGAAAGACACAGATGTAACCACCATGTAGTTGTCATTTTCATATGAAAGTGCTTTTTGTCTTTTAGCCAGGAAGGCCATCATTTTATAAATCACTTTTAGGAATATTAGGTGTCTTCCTTCCTCTGAGACATTTGTATAGAGAAAAGAAAGATGCCATGGTCAGGAACTTCTCATGATGATGCTGTAAGCTTCTGCTTCAAAGCAGTGACATTTCTGGTACTTTCTACTTTTTCAAGCTCAAAGCCCAGTACTAAATGCAAGACTTAATTTCATAGATCACTAACTTAAACTGCCACAGTGACCTTATTTGAACTACCTAACTCAAGACTAAGTGGAAAATGCCTAGAGGCCAAACAGCAAGGGGGAAAACATATTAAGAAAGATTATCAAAAGTGGTCCTCAAGGACACAAGATCAAGCAGAATATGACTTCATTATGTTTAGGAAACCAGAGGTTTGGATATAAGTTGTTAAGCCCACAAAAACTGACTTTCGAGGCCAGCAATTTCATAGCGAAATGCAAAAACCACAAATTGAGATTACAGCTGCTTCTGTAACTGAATGAACAAAGCTTCTGCAAATAATTGGGAAAGAAAGTCAGGAAAGAAGAGAAGGTGATCCTAAAAAGTCCTCATGCTTCTCCATGAAAGGAGAGAAGTTGTCAGAGGGGCAGCTCCAGTCTTGCAGCCACATAAGCTCACCTGTGGATGTTGGGAATACTCGCCATATTCATAATGCCATAGTTCATCACCACCAGGACAAAAAGATGAATGGAATACCTTGAAGACAACAAAGTGAGTGTTTAGAGAATTTCTACATGAGCTGGTAGAGCTGGCAGTTCAGAGCAAGGGAATATTTTAATATGCAAATGAAATAAATGAGATGTCATATCAGTAAGCATGGATTATCAGAATGACAACATTATAGCCTTATTATCCAACACAGATTAATTCTCATTGACAAGATATTGTCAACAAGTTTCATTCAGAGAAAGAGAAGCCTAGCTCAAAGAGCACATTCAAACTAGACATCTTTTCCAAAAGCGGTATCCTCACAGCAGACTGCTGTGGCTTTAGCTTCCAGAACAAACGTCATTAAATACTTCACTCACAAATACTTTCATGACTTATTTTACTTTGAGGGTTCGGGATGATTATGTGCTTACGCTGGTTAGGAATTTTTTTTTTTTAGGATAACACAGAATGTGCCTTAAAACTAAAAAGATGTAATCCAGAAAAGTTGATATGAATTTTAAAAATATTTTTACCCAAGCCTTGTCCACATGGTGACTAAATACTCACCACCCAAAGCAGAAGACAGCAAAGTATATTCCAAAGAGGGTGGCAAACGCATGGCGAACAGCAGAGCTGGCATGACTGGGACCCAAGTAAATACGAAACCAAAATGCAGCCAGAAGTGCAAACAGTTGACAGGCTACAAAATTGATCTGTAAAAGACAAACAAAGCAAAAAATGTTTGTGATACTTGAAGGCGAGGGTGGGAGGGAAGGATTTACTCCATTCTCAGAACAATAAAGAGTGGAGCCAGCAAAAGGTGGGGAAAGA